GCAGTAGCAGTAGCAGTAACAGTACCAGTACCAGTAGCAGTAGCAGTAGCAGTAGCAGTAGCAGTAGCAGTAGCAGTAGCAGTATTAGTACTTGTTGTTGTTGTTGTCGTTGTTGTTGTTGTTGTGCGTTTAACTTTGATATGAGAACGTCATGAGGGAGTGGGGGTATAATTCCAAAAATCCCAAACCCTACATACCAAAACCCGATCGGATCGTGAAGCCCTCAACCCTTGGTGATGCTTAGAATGTTTAGGGTGCTTAGTCAGCTAGCTCCGGGCTGATACCTGCGCTGCCCGCCCGTTGGGCGCAGCCCCTAGAATAATGCCAGAGCCGATTTCAGAGATTCTCAGCGGGCTTCAAAGTGGTGTCCTGGCCCACAGCGAGGTAGCAGTGGGCTTCGATCCATCGGTCGAATGGGCAGTGGAACCTTCATAGGCACCTCCACACCTTGGCCTTGCGGAGATGGCGCAGACCTGAGGAGAAAGGCATGCATAGAGCTTTCTTAAGGACTCGAGTCGCAGCCCAAGCGGCTGATCCTCGAAGAGTTGGCCGGGCAGGTGGTGGCCCTCCATGCCGCGGCCGTCCTACAATGCACACTCAATGCACGTATAAGTACCAATTGGACAAGACAGTGACAAGTCTTGTTGTTTTGTCAACTCCCTCGACTCAGGTGTTCGATTTTTCTCTTGGCCGAGTGTGGCGCCGACTGTCGCCCTCGGAACATGCAGAACTCACATTCGAAGCTGTTCGCATGCATCTCGGCTGTTAGATGCTCTTCAGATCTCTTCAACCTATGGAGGTTAAACATCGGGCATCCAAGACTTTGCTCGCAATCTGACGACTACCGGCCGATTGGAGAGGGAAGTCAGACGAACTAGCAAAACCAACAGCCAGATCAACGTCCGGCGCGTGAGCTTTGCTTTCCAAGCCAACCCCACAGTCTACGTCTAAGCCGAGGCAAAGGCGCAAAGGTCGATCATGCCAGACAAAGGCAAATGCTTCTTGCGCGCCTTCACGCTGGGAGAGGACGGCAGCGAAGTTTCGGACCGCTCGAGGCCAGGTGGAGCATGCGGCTGCACATGCGCATCTGGAGGAGACCTCTGCGAAACAGGCTCATGTGCACCGAAACCAGGTACACACGACTCGCGAGCTCATGACATTGCCTCCTGTTTGCCACGGCGGCTGGCGCAGCGCGAGGGTGCTCACCTGCGCTTTCTCAAATACTTTGTGCCAACACACTACCGCAATGGTTTGCTTCTTCCTGGTGGTGAAACAACGATAAGCAGCAAGGAGTCCAGAATCGAACAACGATGGAGAAAGCATGGATTCCAGCGGACATCAGACGAGCCGAATTGGAGAAGTCCATCCGGTACGATTTCAACACACACACACACTCTCGTGCACACGCACGTACATACGTGCATGACACACTCACACACAGACAAGAAGAACACCGGCACTACTCACATAATTACGTACATACATGCTTTTCAGACACTCAGAAATACGCACACAGCGCAACATGTTTTCGCTCTGAAGGCAGCGTCTGCTCAAGGGGGCCCGCCTCGAGAAGAAAAGGGCCGAAGGAGAACGTTTGCAGATCAATGCGGCTACTTGACTGATCGCACAAATGTAAACGCAGGTCATGGCCATTTTCGTGTTGTTCGAGTTTCAAGCACCCAACAAAGAGGCAGCTGTCGCTGCACCCCCGGCTACCCCAAAGAGCAGGCATGAGCAGGCTCATGCCGGCCTTTCCCTGGGCTGAGCGACTCGGCAGGTGTTCCGGGACCTGCCGAAGAAACAACTGCTGTCAGGCACGGGCGATTCGAAAACTCGAAAATTTGAAAGCCTTTGTCAACGCGGCCTGGGCTCAGTGGCTTCCTTGGATTCGCAGGTTGAACGGTGAAGGAAAAGAGAGCTAAAATGTCGCCAAGCTTCGGCCCACTCTTTTGCAGACCCTCTCTCGAAGCCTGTCGCAAGCTCGCTGTGACTTGCTTGCACTCACGAAACCGCCTGTTTCCAAGCGGGTCGAAGCGAACTCATCAGAGTTGGCCCCGAAATGCCCCGAAGATTGGGCACGATGCTGGAGGACTGGGATTGCATCAGGGAAGTGGAGACTCAGAGAATTGCAGAGGTGTCTCGCCGCACGTGCCCAAGTTGGCCTTATTACTTACAGCGATGGGTGCTCACTCACTGCTCAAAGATGCACTCAAGGGTAACCCCTAACGAAAGGCATGCCACAACCCGATTCGCCTCAAGATGGAAGCTTCTGAGCTCCTTTGCGCCGTGAGCGTGTCGGCATCTGTGGCCCTCAAGGGTATGAATGCTGACCACTCGCTTTTCTCAAGACGCTCACTTGCAAGGATCGGAGAATTGTGCTGCTTGAAGCTCGCCACCTTCTTGCAATGTCCTCGAGCATAGAAATTGCATAGCCTCGCCAAGTTGCACGGAAAGCGGACAGATCAAACATACGTTGCCCACGATGCAGGGACTATGCTGAAACCAGACACAAAATGTTACTTTCCATCGGGGAACTGCGTCTTGTACCTCACGGCTGAGCTTACATGCGACAGAGAAGAAAGAATGCAACCCATGACGTCCGGCTACGAGATGCACTTCTCACGCTAGTCAGGCTAGGAGGTGGTTTCTGTTATGAACAGAAGTGTTGCACACCACCGGGCAGTTCGCCAATTCCACCAGATGCCGGAACTGTTCGACGATCGACTTCCGCTTGCATCCCGAGCGGCACACTCTGTGTGACACGGAGCTCCTTAGAATGCCACGACATGAAGCAGGCTGTCACCTGAAACTGCAGCGCCAACATCACGATGTCTGCCACGGGTCGCTCTCGCCGTGTGCGAATTTGCAAGCCGGATCCTGGCAGTCCCCGCGCACGAAGGCTCGGCAGATGGCCTCACACAGGTCAGTGCACCCTCAACGCTCAAGGAGGTGCGCGTGAGTTGATGCGAACCGAGTCACCGTCTTGGTCAAGTCTGGCGGCATGCGCAGCTCCCTCGCGGAGTGAGCGAAGCGGCAGGAGGCATCGTTGCAAGAACCTGGATTTGATGTCAGCTGCCAGGCGTGCGCCACAACATTGACACGAACGAGTAAGGAGGATACCGCGCGCAAACCTAAGCTGCACACCAGCCGGAGGAAAAGGCTTGCAGGGGCAATGGAGTCTTGCAATTTTCAGCAAGGCACATCGCACATAACTTGGTCTTGCTCAGCTGCGCCACCACTAAGTGGTTGAGCGGCGCATCATCACTCTCGGGGCCAGGCTTGTTCCTCGGGTGGCTCTCACAGGGACAGCACTCTGACTCTGACCACAACTTGCAAGCAATTCTGAAACACACTCCTAAACTTCTCGAGCCCTTGGTCTCAGAACCATCTAACCTCGGAGACCGAATAAATCCATCGAGCCACATGATCGATGGTCGCAAAAAATTGCGGCGGCACTTAAGCCAATCTTCGAGTCGCCCGACATATCCCGACATGATATGAGTGACATGACTTGACTACATAAGTGACCTCTTGAAGAGGCGTCGCTCCTACGTCCCAATGCCTCTCTCGACTGAGAAACCCGCAGGGATCCATTTGGAGAGCATCGACCCGGTCGCAGGGAAAGATGGCCCCTTTCAGACTCCTTCCCTTCAGATCCCACAGACTTGACTTGACGCTGCATGGCCTCCAGAAAGCCCATCAGAAAGTAAGTGCAGTATGTTGCCCAGAAGCCCTGCCGTCCGAGACCAGAAATAGCAGGCCACAAGAACCGATGACAGGCACCTGCTGCAGCGCAATGGGCGCCACGATGGATCCCATACCTGGGCATGGGAGGTTGCCCAGCAGGCACAACGGCACAGAAAACATCCCGGCCGAGATCGGCCGAGTGCAGAGCTGACAGCGCAAATTGCAAGCCTGAGAACAGCAAATCTGACCGAGACAGGTGTGACAGGCTATCAAGATCTGTCTAGATCTATCTAGCTACGGTGCGTCTCCCACAGCATAGCATGGTGTTTCTGCTGTCGTTAGCACTCTTTACTTTCAGTCCGAGCACTCTCAGGCCGAGGCTGTAGAATCCATTTGCCCCCAACTCGATCGGCTAAGGTGCCCCCAAGGATCTGCGTCAGCATGTAGCCTTCACAGTCAGAGTCTGGCGAATGCCACGGTGTCCACTTTGTAAACGCCTGATGCGAACGCAGACAGCAGGCTTCCAGCTTCCGAGTCAGAGAGCTGAAGGTCCTAGCACAGGTGTCACTCTCGCCACCACCAAGGAGGTGCCAGCACAGGGTCCTGACGAATTGCTGGTAGGAGCGCCCCGAAAAGAATTCGATTTGCTTGGCAGACCAGTCTGCAGCCAAACCTTGGCGTGTTCTCAGCGGCTGCAGCATGTCAAGGTTCTGCCATAAAAGCTTTGTTTCGCAACAAGGCCCTTGGCTTGTAGCCACTGCTGGCAAAACACAACATCCAGCACATCACTAGGCGGAACTTGGGGATCACCTCATTTGCCTTCGAATCCTCCGCAATGTCGGCGTGTGAGAGACATGTATGAAAGAAACACAACCTGTCGAAGTCTGGCCTTATTCAGCTGGGACTTTGCAACCATGCCACCCTGTCAGCTGTCAGACTTCAGGTAGCTAAGACTTGTCCTTATCGCCGCCATCCCGCACTGCTGCGCCTTTCTAGCTGAAGGGCCCGAGAGCGGAAGCCCACTGATTGATCTGCCTTGGGTACAGCAAACGGAAGCTCAACAAGCTTCCGCCTACGCCTTCCTCAATCCCCCAACAGCCCCAGCAGACAAGTCAAGCAGCCAGCGCGCGTTCGCCTTTTCTTGGCCCCGGCTTGGTGCCATGGCTTCGGGTCAAGCGAGGCCTTGGACGGAGCCTTCGCCTTCCTAAAGCTGCCTGGAAGTGAGTCACACGACTGACTGACTACTGATGCGAAATGTTGCGTTAAACAGAGACCTGAAGCTCGCTATTTGCTGTCGGAGAGACTCAAGGTCAGGGACAGAGCAGCTCTGCAAGGGATGGAAATTACAGCAGCTTGTGGCATGCACCGATGATGCTCGCAGCGGTTTTGGAAAACTTGTCCACACTCTCTACTTGAAGGTCTTTGACGTGGATCATCATGCAGCAGTGAGTCGTAGCCCACCTTCAGAGAACTGCCAGAACCTGAAAACAGGCAAAACAACTACGCCAATGCAATGCACCGACACCACTACGACCACGACAACAGTAGCCGCCAGTACTGCATCTTCGTGCCATGCGTCATTGTTCCACGAAGGCAGCAACCTTGCCCAAAGACCACACATCGGCCTGGCAGCAGCTGGACTGCCAAGCAATGCTCTACATTCATGCTCGCCTTGTAAGCATTGAACTCGAGACCGCCGTCAATCTCAGGAGCCTCGCGTCAGAGCCACGGATTGCAAGGCATATCATTTCATCGCTGCAGTCCTTCCTGGACATAATAAGGCAAGTCACTCGGTAGCCAGGTGTCCCCATTAGCCCACGCAAACAGCCAGAAGCCCCAATTCTAGTGGCAGTGCCAAGATCGCAGAGCTTGCCGCGAAGGGTCTCAGGCAGAGCACCGGGTCAGAAGAGCAAAATGAAATATCATGAAATCTGGCCCAGTCATGTCATGGAGAACTTTTTGGCTTCTACCAAAAAAGCACTATCCTCTGCCTTGAGCCAAGGAGCACCCTCCGATTTCACGAGGATGTTGTGCGGCTTAACGTCCAGGTGAGCGAAATGCTCTGTGTGCATGAAGACCAGCGCCGAGATCACATCACAAAGCACCGACAGGAAGGAAGGAATATGAGGAGAACCTAGTTCGACGTAGTTTCGAAGAGCACCCAAGTCGCAATATTCTAAGAGAATCTCCAAGGTGTCACCTTCTTCAATGACCCCCAAGAGTCTCACAATACAAGGATGGCGTAGCCTGTCCAAGCATCTAATCTCGTTGACATGTGTGGGATATGGCTGTGCACTTCGACTTCTGTGGACTCGCTTTACCACGAGCTTGGTCCTGTCTGAAATCTGAGCTGCTAGATGAACTTCACAATTGTCGGTCTTGGCCAGAATCCCTCCCACGACAAATGATGCAGGTGACCGTGTCAGGCGCCGAAGAGTGTCTGCATCCAGCTCCTCTGGTCCGAAGCTGGGCCCATAGCTCAGATCGTCCACATCCCATGGCTCAGGCTCGTCAGGCTCGAGCTGATCCGAGCCGAGCTGAGAGCGCTGAGAACGCGACGTCCCAGCTCTGACAAAACTTGCACTTGCGGCTTCTCGCTGGCCTCCTGGAGCGTGATGAGCACCTGCTGTGCTCAAGGACAAATTGGCGGGGGCAGCACTTGCATCACATAAGCGCAGAGCTTGCGTCGAAAACTGAATGCTGGAAGAGCTCGAGTGCTTCTCCCCCTCCACACACAAGTCTGCAAGGTCTCTGTCGTCTGCAGAACTGTGGCTCGCGAGCAGAGCACCGCATCCCATGCCGCGGAAGGTCCATTGCTAAGACGAGGCAGAAGCTCCGTGCTAGGACTGGCCATGGATTTTTCATGGTCGGCTCCTATGGCCTCCTATGGCCTCCTGGATCTTCCTGCATTGAATCGACATCTAAAGCTCAGTACAGAAATGCCAGCTCTTCAACTCGCAACGCGGCATCATGCTGTTCGTACGGTTTCAGAGGTTTTGTGGCTCCTGGTATTCCAAGCCCCTTCAAAGCCAGAAGAGCTTGACAAGGGATTGCAATAGCTTTCGTCGATCGTGGATTCCTTTTGTGTCCATGCACGCGACGTTGGGCTGTCTCTGTACAAGAGCGCTCGAGCGCTTCTCAGGTCGAAGCGCATACGATCGCTTCGGAGCTAGGTGGCAAGTTCTTTGTGCCACGATTCGACTACCAAGCCGTGAAGCTCAACTCCGCAAGTGTGGAGTCCTCTGAGAAAGGTTTTTGCGAAGAGAGAGCCCGGAGTCGGAGCACTTGCGACGCTCCTCAGCCTCGGGGCTGTCGTCGGGGCCCTCGGCTTGCAGCTTCAGAGCTGGCTTGGTGCCTGAAGTTTCAGGCTCCTCTCCGATCTCAAACACCGGCAAAAGGGGAGTGGCCTACGGCATCACGAGGCGCAGGAGGGTCCTCATCCGTTCGAGGCCTCACCCCGTGTCAACCAACTACATCTTGCATCTTGCAACACATCGCAAGTGATCCAAATCAAGCCCAGTGACGAATGCAGGACCAAGAAACGTGTCGAGCGTGCAGATTTGCGATGACCTGAGTCTTCCACGCTGGTCTTGGTCTTTTGGATTAGAACCCCGGTCAAAGCAGCAGACGAAGAAATGCGGATTTCGCTCTTCGCAGTCTTTGCGTGAGCTGAAACCTTTGACTGCGAGGCACAACACTGGCAATACCCAGCAATTTGCTTGTCCTGGACAGACTCAGATCTGCACCAGCGGAAGCGACAATGCTTGTAGGCAGCTTCTACCTGGGACCGTCAACATCGCCATGATTTCGCGACACGCAATGTCAGGCTTCAGGATTTCCACGGCCATGCAGTAAATCGCAGTAAAAGGCGAGGAAAGCTGTTCGAAGCCGGTGTGAGTTCCAGCTTAATGTGCAGAATGCCAACGTTGTCACATGCCGGCCGAGTGATAGCCAAGGAGGCCTCGGGCCCGCCAACTCCAGCTAGGCTCTGCCAGGCTCCGCGACATCCGAGATCTGCCAAAGAGAGTGGTTATGAACCTGAAAGAACTCGCCGAACACTGGCGAAGGCATTTCTTACCCTTGCTGGTGTTCAAGTCAAACACGGATACAATGGATGAGCCGACGCCGAATTATCGCGATCAGGGTGTACGATAAAATTAACAAGCCGCGTGAAGAATTACTCTGCGAAGCCACGCTGAATTTCAGCCGGCTGTGCTTGGCGGAACTGACATGGCTTGGCAGGCAGCAGCACCACCAGCACCAGCACCAGCACCAGCAGCAGCAGCAGCAGCAGCACCACCACCACCACCACCACCACAACTAATTACCGCACATGGGCAATAACTGACAGACTTGCAGCAGGAATTCAACTTACACATGGCTCCAGTAGAAAAGAACGCTCTAGTTGCCAGGACCACTCTCAGCGATTCGCGTCGCGATCGATGCAGATTCGCTTGTCTTCGTCCTCTGCCGCCAAGACCACGACTCGTAGACCTGAAGCTGCCCAGAGCCGCGGGGTGTGCAAGGAGGCGGCTTGCTTCCAATTCGGCCACGGTGCTTTGCACAGGGAGCGTAGTGAAGATAAAGTGCCTAACTTGTGCAATCGCAGCAGGAAGTGCCTCAGGACACGAGAGACAATGATACGCGTTTGGGGCTCGCACAGGAAGGCTTGACATGCTGCCTGCGGCCAGCCCATTCCGTCCTGCAAAGGTCATGCGGGGATTCTGGCCTAATCGCTGACTTAATTACGGTGGATACTGCCTTATACGATACTGCCTGAGGAGCAACCGAGAGGTGCAAGATGCGGGCGTAATGGGCAGCATGACCTGCCAGGGCACACCATGAAGCCACGGAGCGGTTCGAAGCTGCAACATGCCCTGCAGCGGTCGACCTTGCACAAATTGAAAACAGACGAGACCATCTGCAGAATCCGCAGATGCCACTTTTCCTGTGACGAAAAGGCACGAGCCACCTCAAGATGAAGCTAGGCTCCACTCCTGGAAGATGTATCCAGAAGATCTCCAGCTTGCCAACCTTGCCATCCAACATGCAGAATACAGAACTAGAGAACTAGATGCAAGATCGCCCCATCTGATGGAGCCGGCCAAGCTTCCGAGAGGCTGTTCGGCGGCGCGGCCCTGAAGCTTCTCCTGCAAAGGGCCGGTCTCTCACGGCGACCTCGCCTAAGTCCAGGGCTTCAGCGGTCCCAGTTGGTCTCAGCAGCAGCTGCGAGATGCTCCGGAATGCGTTTCATGTAGCGATCGATGAGTCTTTGTGGCTGCTCCTCTTGCTGCAAGACATAGATGTGTACACAGGCAAACAACTGCCTGAAGCAGAATATCCGAACAACAGGTGCGCTCCGCAATCAGCGGCGACAGCTGAAATTCAACATTGGGTGGCGATGGTGCCTCGTTGTGCGCTCTGCGTTCGCTCTGGCGCTGTGGCAGCATCTCTAGTAACTGGGCTGCAGCCTTTCCAACTCGGCCTCTGACACCTCCAAGCTCCAAGTCCTCGTCATCGGAGTCTGCCTCACGATCTGGCCCTAAGTTCCACCCGAACACGGGCAAACTGGACGGCTGTTCGGTGTTCGGCAGTTCGCGTTCGAGCCTGTGCTTCCAGCTCTGGCGTCCTCGATGGCTGACCTGGCAAATTAGCCTTAGACTTAGCCTTTCCACAGACTCGATGTCGGCACAGTCGGCCGGCATACTCTGGCCTTCGGGAGCTTTGCCATGGCGAGAAAGGTCGAGCGAACGTCGTGCTGAGCCTTCCCCCGCCGCCGTGATGGGGCCTGTCGCAAAACGTTGTATCCGTCGCAAGCCTCAAACGACCAGTTCGTCCCGGCCTCTGCATGCCTTGAGGACATGCACAGATGCCTCACCTTCGATTGTGCTACGAGAGACAGTACAGGAGGCAACCGTAGACGAAATAAATCTAGCGAACCAGCCACGAGGAAAAGAAAGATGGCTTTTGGTTGAAAAGCATGTTTTAGGGGAGATGCTGTCGAAGACCAGGCGACCAGACCCCGCTCGCCGGCTCCTGCGACGCACTTCCCCCCGCCACGCTGCAAAGCTTTCTCAAATCGGCCATGAAGGCTACGTGGCTACACCTTATGTGGGCCCTGTCACTGTCCTCGAACAAGACCTGGCATATGGCGATCGAGCGACACATGGTGGGCTAACGTCACTCGCCGGACTCACGAGTCAGGCGACCATCCTGCTGCTCGGACGGTGGCGCCGACCTGAAATGCTGCTGCTTCGATGCTACACCATGATCACCTGGCGCCAGCTATTTGTGAATATTGTAAATTTGGTGCTGGATTGTGCATGGAGTGCAAACGGGGAACTCTTACTTACAGTCCTCGAGACCTCAAGAGGGGTTTCGCCTTCGTGCCCGCACCTCGATGTCCTTGTCTTCGCCATCCTCCACGTCATCGTCGACGTCCGGACCTTGCGCCAGTCCCGCACAGGTACAACTGCCGCACTAGGCTGCTAGGTGCTGGTACTGCAAGCCTGGAAGGTAGCGAGCAAATCTGTCTTCGCAAGGCTGGTGCTCCTTCTTGCCGTTCCGACAACACCATCTAGGATCTACATGCAGTGTGCTGATTGTAAACAGCCGCATGCATCTTATGACAGATCCTGCGCTCCCATCTCTTCCGCCATCTGGCAAACCTCTGGCTCTGGCAATGGGCCGTCACCTCGGCAGAGCTTGCAACGCAAAGCCGAAGCGATGAGAGGTCCGGCCATGGCCTGTGGGCAGAGCCTCCCGTGTTTGCACCTCGAGACGATGCCATGCTACGCCGCTACAGACGACGCTTCCGGCATTCTACCTGCCTCTTGCAAACATGCAGAGGCTTTGTCTGCGCCAGGCATCACCTCCACAGATCTCCACAGCACATGTCCCTCTCAGCCTGACGATGGCTTCAGCTTGAGGCCACGACTCCCTGAAAGTCATCCAATGGCGGAACCTGCACCATCCAGGGGGCCAAACCCCCCCTTGCAGGACACGGTGTGCCACGATGTATCACAAGCGCAGCAGGCACTCAGGAGCACCAGCATTGCAGACTTTCAAAACGCGCAATTTTTCAAACCTTCAAAACACATCACATGCTGAAATCCCCACATCACTGTGGGGTTCTTGTATTTCGGTAGCCCCACCCGCCCGCACCCCGCCGTTGCTGGGAGCGGCGCGCTCTTTTGGGGCACATTGGCCTTGCCGTGGAGAGCTGCTGGGAGGGCAGCGCACGCTTGGGGTACATCCCTGCGTGGCCTTGCTGTGGGGGAGCTGAAGGGAGGGCTGCGCGGACTTTCGGGGTACACCACTGGCCTTTGCATATACACAAAGACACACACTCATGCAATCCCCACTCTGACTGATATCTTGGTCAGCGTACTTCTTACTTTCAGGGGCGAAGACATATAGCCATTAGGCAGTACATTGGGGTTCTTGGCTTAGCCTTTGGCCACACACTAAAACAAGACTGCAGGTACGTCGAAGTGATCAGGCTGGATATCCTCCCAACTCAACAATAGCTTGGTTGGCATTGGACTTTTGAGTGGGCCACGACCCTGCCGAAATGCAGAACATTCGGAAATCTTTGTCAGTCCTATCCTTTAATAACAATGCTGCACACACACACACCAAAACAAACACAAGTGCATGTGGGCAGCAGAGCTGACTACGATTCTTAAACAGAAAAATTCAATGTCAGACCCGTTTTGAATCTTTTGCACCGTGTGCAACTCGTACGAAACAGACGGCTCCACCGTCTTAGGGACAATAGTGGGCTCCGTAAATGCTACCTGGCGGCTAGCCTGTTCAATTGACACGATGACAGTTGTGGTCTGCGACCTGTGGCGGCTTTGACATGATATCGCAAGATTTTCTTAACATGGTCGATGTTCGAGTGCGTTGAAATGAAAAATCATAGCGTGTCCTCTGTTGCAGCGGTCTGGTGGAACATGAACCTCCACACGTACCAAATGGATGTCCGCTTGCGCCGCTGTGCGTTTCATGGCTGAAATGGCAAAAAACTCTCGATCCAAGCAGCTCATGACATTTGTAAACGGCAAGCAGAAGATGAAAATCGCTGGTCATTTACTTCGTCAGCACACATATTATGGTGTGAAGGGTGAGACAGTCATGACCTTTTGACCTGTACAGTTTGCGACGACGATGTTGACTGCTTCAGATGTCGACTGGCACGTCGATGGCTGGAGCACCCCGCTGGTGCAAATCCGAGTACCAAGCATTTTTGCGGTACGCCTTGAGGTTCACCCCCTCATCTGTGACCCAAAATTTTCCCTCATCTGTGACTCCAAAACCTTCTCAACTGTGACCCAAGCTCTTTGTGATTAGTGCAATTGCACGGCTAGATGAGGCATGATGGTGGCTAGGTTTATGGTTTTGTTTACGGGTGTATTTGTCCTCATCCCAGGCCACTTGGCAGTGGAAACAGGTCCACTTTCTCCTAAACCCTGAACCCTAAACCCTCCCCCCACCCTCCTTCCACCGCAAACCGCAAACCGAAAGAAACCCTCCCCAAAAGTATGCTAGAACCCTTGAGCCCTAATCTCCAAACACCTAAACCCTAAGCCGAACCGAAGCCCCCTAAACCCTAAACCCCCAAAAACCTTAAGCCCTAAGAAAGCCCTAAGCCATCAGGAAAAGCCCTAAACCCTAAGCCGGAACCCCAAACCCTAAACCCGAAACCCTAAAAACCTCCTAAACCCTAAACCCTGAAAAACCCTAAGCCCTAAACCCTAAAACCCTAAGCCCTGAGCAAACTTTAAACCCTAACCCGTAAACCCTAAGCCCTAAAACCTCTGGACCTTGAGCCGAAGCCTCCTCAACCCTAAACCAAACCCTAAAATGAACCTAAGCCTTAAACTCTGACCCTAAACCCTAAACCAAAAAAACCGTAACCCCTAAACCCCAAAACCCTACACCCTAAGCCGAAGCCCCCTAAAGGTTAGCCCTAAGGCCTAAGCACCCTAAACCTGAAACCCGAAGCCTGAACCCTCAACCCTAAGCTGAAACCCTAAAGCTTAAACGCTGAACCCTAAGCTGAAACCCAAACCGTAAGCCCTAAACCCTGAACCCTAACCCCTAAACCCTAAACCCTGAGTCGTAAAGGAATGGTTTCAGGTTAATGGGATCCCTGGACGCCCGTCCTGAACTTGAGACCAGTCGGGGCCAAACCACAAACCCTAAACCCGTCCCTCTAAACGCAAGCTTTTTGGGTCACAGGGGAGGGGTTTGTGGGTCACAGATGAGGAAGAGCCTATGGGTCACAGACATGGGAAATTCTTGGGTCACAAGTGAGGGTTGGGCCCGCCTTGGGAACGTCTTGCTTGCCCATGGCTGAAGAGGCAAAGAAATGCGAGCTGGGATGGCAAAAAACTGCGAGCGTGAACCTCAATGGTACAAAACTAACTGCACAAGTATGGCAGCAAAGCTTGCTCCGGTTTATGAACCTGCATGGTTTGCAGCGGTCATATCCAAAAGGATCCCTGAAGGATATCGGGAGATCAGCTAATGAAAGGCTGACAAATTATAAAAGTGCACGAATTTGGCCTTGCTCATTCATGGCGTAGCTGATCGTTTCGCTTTCTGGGCGACTCAGAAGTAGAGGCTGTTGTGTTCTGGTGGTCTTCTCGGATGGAGTTTTGTTCGTGATCATTGCGAAGTCTCCGAAAAAGCCACTGTCTGGTGGCTGGAAACCAGACTTCCACCATTGAGAGCCATCGGTTGTCCAGTAGTATCGCCATGGCTGTTGTGGCGAACGAGATCTTGGTGCATCAGGCATGACTGGAAGCTGGACAGAACAGTGAGCAATATGGCTGATGTGGCAATATTTTGACATCATCAGCAAACATTAAACATGCATCGCTTCGAAAATCATGTGCACCATTCTTAACGCTGCGACGGGACACGATCAACAATCTGATTAATTTTATTCCTGTTACATCTGCCTGACGATGGCAGAGTTGTAACTGAGCATGAGCTTGGCTCTGCTAGTCCGTTTGACATCAAAGCTAGGTTGCAAAAATAATGTTGCACTTTGGGCCACTTGGAAACTAGTTCTTGTTTCACCTGATTGAAACGATGAATGGCTTTGTCTTGACTGCTGTACAGAATGGACCCGTCTCTGGGGTCAAGTTCTGGTCCTTGGGTAGCCACTCGGGTTCTGTCCCAGAAAAGAATTTTTTGCAGTCACTGGCAACAGAGTGGCTTGAATCGTCTTGTGCTTTTGAAGTCCGGACGACGCAGAGAATTGGAGCTACAGGAAGAACTCGACGATGAGCTAGAAGACGAGGTTCCCGAAGCATCTGAAATCGACGCGCTTGTCGATACGGGCGTAGTGGACTTGCGTTTGCGTCGTACTTTTCGTCGCGATTTGGCCATGGCAGCCACTTGAAACACTCGTTTCGGTTGAAAAGAATAAGCCCACTGAAGCCCCAACATAATCGCAAATACATGTTACGAAACTGGCGAGGTCTGTCAGAATCCTTTCAGTCTGAGCGAGCGGGCCATCCAAGGTCATATCGATACTTTGCACACAACGCTTTGGTTTTGGTGGTCCGTCAGTTCCGGAACCCGCTCCGGAACCCTAACCCGCTCGGAAACCCGCTCCGGAACCCGCTCCGGAACCCGCTCCGGAACCTTCTTCGGAACTCGCGCGGAAACCCGCTCCGCAATCCGCTCCGGAACCCGCTACGGAATCCGCTCCGGAACCCTCTCCGGAGCCCACTCCGAACCCCGCTCCCGAACCCGCTCCGAAACCCTATCCGGAAACCCACTCCGGAACACGCTCCGCAACCCGCTCCGGAACCCGCTCCAGAAACCGTTTCAACGCGCTGCAGAACCCGCTCCGGAACCTGCTCCGGAACCCTCTCCGGAACTCCGGAACCTGCCCGGAACCCGCTCCGAAACCTGCTCCGGAACCCTCAGCGGAACTCGCTCGGAAACCCGCTCCGCAACCCCGCTCCTCAACCTTCTCCGGAACTCGCTCGGTAACCCGCTCCGGAACCCGCTCGGAAACCCGCTCCGGAAGCCGTGCCGGAACCCGCTCCGGAACCGTATCCGGAAACCCGTTCCGGAACCCGCTCCGCAACTTGCACCAGAACCCGCTCCAGAAACCGTTTCAACGCGCTGCAGAACCCGCCCCGAAACCCGCTCCGGGAAACCCGCTCCGGAAGCTCCGGACCCCTCCGGAACCCGCTCCAGAAACCGTTTCAACGCGCTGCAGAAGCCGTTTGGAAACCCGCTCCTCCGGAACCCGCGGAACTCGCTCGGAAACCCGCTCCAGAACCCGCTCCGGAACCTACTCCGGAACCCTCTCCGCTCCGGAACCCACTCCGGAAATCTCCGGAACCCGCTCGCAAACCCACTCCGCTCCGCAACCCGCTCCGGAACCCTATCCGGAAACCCGCTCCGGACAACCCGCTCCGGAACCCGCTCCAGAAACCGTTTCACGCGCTGCAGAACCTGCTCCGGAACCCGGCTGCTCAAGGGGGGGTGGGGGGTACCCGAGCTGTTCCGCAACCCGCTCCGCAACCCGCTATGGAACTCGCCTGCTCCGGAACCCGCAACGCAACCCGCAACGGAACCCGCTCCCGAACCCACGCCGGAACTTGCTCCGGAACCGGCTCCGGAATCCGAACCCACTCCGCAACCCACCCCGGAACGCGCTCCGGAACCCAACTCCGGAACCCGCTCCGGAACCTGCTCCATCCGGAACCTGTCCGGAACTCTCTCGCTCCGGAACCCACTCCAAAACCCACGCCGGAACCCGCTCCGGAACCCTCTCCGCAACTTGCTCGGAAACCTGCACCCGCTCCAGAGTTCCGGAAACCCGCTCCGGAACCCACTCCGGAACCCACTCCGGAACCTGCTCAGGCCGCTACGGAACCCGCTCCGGAAGCCGCTCCAGAACCCGCTCCGGAGTTCCGGAAACCCGCTCCG